GGCACCATTTTTGCTTTTATCAGTGCTACAGTGAGTGACCTTATATATAGGCCCTTTTCCACATACACATAATTATAAATCTCTAGAAATAGAATTGCTGGAGGAAATGGTGGATGCATTTGTGATTTATATGTTGTTCTTGTTAGATGCCATTGAGTCGATTCTGCCTTACAGTGACCCTGTGGACAACAAAATGAAATACTGCCCACTCCTACACCATCCTCACAGTCATTGCTGTGTTTGAGCCCTTGTTGTAGGCACTGTGTTAATACATCTTATTGAGGGTCTTCTTCTTGATAACATCTCCAAAGCCATCCTTGCTTCTAATGAGCTCTCTGGCTGAACTTCTTCCAAGTCAGATTTGTTTGTTCTTCTGACAGTCCATGGTATATTCATTTTTCTTTGCCAACACCATAATTCAAATATATCAGTTCTTCTTTGGTCTTCCTTATTCATTGTCCAGCTTTCACATGCATACGAGGCAGTTTATGTAGATAATATCAAATTGCCCTCCATTTGGTTGTATCAGTTTGTTCTCCAACTTAGAGGTGTAAGTGTACCTGTTTCTCTATATCTGTGCAGAAACTGTGTTATCAAACTCTAGGAGTTTTGCTAATGTATTACGTGAACAATGTTATCACAATACAGTTTTTTAAAATGTTTGTATTTTTTATTATGAAATAACTTCAGGCTTAAAAGATCCAAAAATAGTATAAAGAGTTCCCAAAGATCCAAAAATTATAAAAATATACATTAGCAGTATAAAAGGAGATGTAGCAGATACCCAAGAGAGTATTACATGCAACTTTGTGATGATCAGTTTGAAACTCTACAGCAAGAGTTGGCGGACTACAAATTACAAGCCAAGCCTGGCCCTCTGTGTGTTTTTGGAAGTAAAGTTTTATTGGAACACAACCATGCTGCTTTGTTTGCATATTGTCTATGGCTGTTTTCATGACACTATGGCAGAGTTGAGTACCTGGGACAGAACCGTATGGCTTGAAAAGCCTAAAACATTTATTACCATATGTTGTTGTTGTTGTTGTTATGTGCCGTCGAGTCGGACCTGACTCATAGCGACCCCTCCTTGGGTTTCCGAGGCAGTATCACTATGGAAGTAGATTGCCCCATCTTCCTTCCGAGGAGTGGCTGGTGGATTTGAACCGCCAGCCTTCTGGTTAGCAGTCAAGTGCCTTAGCCACTATGCTACCAGAGCTCCCTATTAATATGGTATTATATTACCATATAGCTCTTTACAAAAATTTGCCGATTTCTAAAGAAAGTGAAAATTGGTCCCAGCAGTGCTAGACTAGATAAACAACCATAGAAATGATTGGAGATGTTATTAAAGATTATAAGAAGTCTCCAAGCAGAGAGCTGATCTTTGAGTTCACTTTAATCTTTGCAGGGCAGGTATTATACTTGTTCTTTAGATTATGTCATACCATCAATTAAGATGGAGAACTGTTTTTTAAATGACATTATAAAACTATTAATGCAGTCCTCTTTTAAAGGAATCTTGATGTTGTAGGTTTTTGCATTTTTTTACACTGGAAAATGGCTCATATTTATGCAGTGATAACTGAGTGTGGTACCAACCACAGTGCAGTGATCATACCTGCATCCCTTCCATCTTAAGGATGGGCAATACAGCATTTGCCTGAAAGACTTGATTGATCCCCTGACCACACGACTACTTCTCTGTAATTTTAATGCTACATGTGGGCATTTGTTATAATTCTAGTTGTGTGTACACACGTGTTATGGATGTGTGTGTGCATATGGGTACAATGTGTGTATGTATGCACACCTTAATCTCAGCCAGTCCAGGCTGACAGAAGATAGATGCGAAGTGTTTTCATTTCTGTTCATGTGCTTTATAGTTGAAACTTGCTGTGTTAACAGTGTTGGGATATCATAATACTGCTTTACAATGTTACTGTAATTGTAGTATTACTGTACTTTGTTTTCAGATTTTCTCTCTAAGTGGAAACACTTCTGAACTTTGAAATAATGTGATGATGTTGAATTATTCTCTGTATAAAAACCCACTGCCATCGCGTCAATTCTGACTCATAGCAAGCCCTGTTGGGTTTCTAAGGTGGTAAATCTTTTGGGAGTAGATTGCCCCATCTTCCTTCCATGGAGCAGCTGGTGGGTTTGAACCTCCAACTTTCTGGTTCACAGTCACATGACTGGCACTGTACAACCAGAGCTCCTTATTCTTTGTACAGACAAACAAACAAAAAAACCAGACCCACTGCCATCGAGTCAGTTGTGTCTCATAGCCACCCCATTGGCTTTCCGAGGTGGTAAATCTATACGGAAGTAGATTGTCCCACTTTCCTTTTGTGTAGTGGCTGGTGGGTTTGAACCATCAGCTTTCTGGTTAGCAGTCAAATGCCTTAGGCATTGAGCCACCAGAGCTCCTTATCCTTTGTATGTGTGTATATATATATAAAAACTAAAAACTAAACTCACTCTGTTGAGTCAATTCCGACTCACAGTGACCCCCCTTTGGGTTTCTGAGGTGCTAAATCCTTACAGAAGTAGATTGCTCAGTTTTCCTTCTGTGGAGTGACTGGTTGGTTTGAACCACCAACCTTCTCCTTAGCAGTTAAATGCCTTAGGCACTATACCACCAGAGCTCCTTATCCTTTGTATAGGGAGCCTAATATCCATAGTTGCATGTCAGCAAAGCAGGCACCAATATACCATATTCCTCACTCACATACATACATTCTCTGTTTCTACCAACATATTTTTGAGAGACACATGTGATCCTTTTTAACTCATTCAACACTGCAAATCTGTGAATATCCATTGTTTGAATGGAAGCAGAGTTCTCTCTGAAAGGTCACATTCAGTCCACATTGGGATTAGATCAAATACTCAGCTTACATCAGACATTTACCTTTAGACTAAGGTGAGAGCTGAATTGCGTCACTTTGTTTAAAACTATTTGGCCTCAAATCCCAGTTCCATACATTGAAAATTGAGTGACAGACATATAGAGTCAGCGACTTTCTGTGGACCCACGTCCATCAGGTGAGAAGGCACAGATTGAACTTGTTATGGTTAAGGGTCAGGATATCATCATCTTTATTGGTTTTCTGGAATATCTTTTCATATTGTTTCCTGTTAGAAAAAAAAAGGGGGGGTGGGTGGGACCAAATTTGCAGGTCTGATAGAGCCTGGTGGAACCACTGAGACTATGGTCCCTAACTGCCCTTCAGGTCTGGAATTGAACCCACACCTGTGGTTTCCAGCCAAACAAAAGACAGGCATATGAGTTGAACATTTACCTCAAGTAG